TTCCTCGATCCAAAAACTCCCTAAAGACAAAACTTCCTCGATCCAAAAACTCCCTAAAGACAAAACTTCCTCGATCCAAAAACTCCCTAAAGACAGAAATCCCTAAACTGAGAATTCCCTATATTTCGGTGACTTCCTTTAACCGAGACACTCTCTAAACAATGAGAAAGGTAACGAAAAAATGGCTACTCACCTTTGGTACGCTGCCGAAAGCTGCTCAACTGGTGACCAAGGGACTTTTCTTCCCCTCTTCGACGCCCGATTTTCCGCGTCACGGCGACGCTTTGCCAACGATCATTCGCGATATCACGTTTCGCGCCGCTAATAAATGAATGCGAAAGGGGAGGCCCGGTAAATTGATGCCCGCGCGGGGATCAAATCGACGTTGATTTATCGGCCGGGCCTCGCGCCACGCAAAAACAACAGAACCCCTGACGATTTATCGACTTTTCTCCTCCGTCGATCGATCCACGCGAATTATCATTTACCAAATTTTATCGTTGCTCGGTTGTTTCATTTCATTTTTTACAATATTTCCAAATTTCACTCGGAAACGTTTTTGCCAGTTCAATTGTAACTTTCAGCATAATTTTCAGTGGTTCGTTCGAGCTTCTTTCGGAGTTTTATCGAAACATTTTTCAATTGCAGCTCTCAATGTTTTCTTTGAAGATTTATGAATTTGTAATTTTTTTAGAACTCTTGGAATAATTGAAATTTCTTTTTTGAGTTCAATTCGAGGATTTATCGATTTGTGGACTTTATTGCGTCTCCAAGTGTATTATACTTGTTTCAGTTTTAATTTTAACGTGTCTTAATTTACAATTTACGCGATTCGAATTTTTGAAAATTTTAATTTGAGAATTTGTCGATTTGTAGCCTTCAGATTTGTCGATTTCCAATTTTTATTTTATCTCGAAGTGCACGATACCCGTGTCAATTAAATTTACGCGACGTTTTCAGAATTTCTTAAAATTCCAACTCCAGGATTTGCCGATTTATAGTCTTCAGATTTGCCGATTTATAGCCTTCAGATTTGTCGCTTTCCAATTTTTATTTCATCTCGAAGTGCGCGATACTCGTTTCAATTCAACTTGCGCGACGCTTTAAGAATTTCTTAAAATTCCAACTCCAGGATTTGCCGATTTATAGCCTTCAGATTTGCCGATTTATAGCCTTCAGATTTGTCGCTTTCCAATTTTTATTTCATCTCGAAGTGCGCGATACTCGTTTCAATTCAACTTGCGCGACGTTTTCAGAATTAAAAAAAATTCCAATTCGAGGATTTGCCGATTTATAGCCCTCAAATTTGTCGCTGTCCAATTTTTATTTCATCTCGAAGTGCGCGATACCCGTGTCAGTTAAATTTACGCGACGCTTTCAGAACTTCTTCAAACCTCAGTTTAAGGATTCGTCAAATTTGTCGAAAATTTCAGCGAATTTTACAATTATTTCGAATATTTCCCTAACCTTTAACATCAAAATTTATACGCTCATAATTTTAGAATTACTCTGTTTTAAATAATATCGCTAAAGATACAAGCTACCAAGTTAGTTGCGTTTAATTAACGAATTACACGATTTTCGTTGTAGATTCAACTTTTCAAACTTCTCGTTTAAACGTTGTTTTCTATAAGAACAGCAATTATAAAGGAATCTCGCGTAAAAGACGGTCAATTGCGGTCTATCGAGCTCCACGTTAGTCCTCAATGAAATCACTGCGTAAACATGGCCGTCAGCCACGAACTGTCCAATCTGCGCACCGTATATCCTCTTTCTCGACGTCAACTATCAACAAATACCATTATTGTAACTCACTTGTCCATTACGAATCTTGCAGTCTTTCTTTTCGTAACGAAATCCAGAAAATTATTCTTGGAAATAACACTTTTATGGCAAATTAAATAATTTCGTATCTGGAAATTCAGCTTCACTTGGTTTGCAATTATTAATTTTGAAATTTCACACACCGCGCAGTGAAAAAGTTCATTTTCAATAATGAAAAGAATTTTTCCTTGCAAATATTTTGCAGGCAACTGTGATTTGTCAATTTTTTAATTTCACACACTGTGCAGTAAAATAATTCACGTTTTTTAACAGGGAAAAAAATTTTTCATTTAAAATCATTTCCACGTAATTAATAATTTGTCGAATTTTTTAATTTCACGCACTGTGCAATGAAGAAGAATCGCATTCTCCAATTGTGAAAGGAATTTTTCGCGTAAGATCCTCTGGGCAATTCTAATTTTTCAATATTTAAGCTTCACACATTTTAGAATAAAATAATTCACGCTCTCCAATAGAGAAGAGAATTCTTCTTTCAAAATTTTCTCTAAGCAATTGTAATTTATTAATTTTAAAAATTCACTTTTTGCAAAAACGAGAAGAACGTTACTTTCAAGTTTTCTCTATGCAATTTTCAAATTTCACACACTGTGCAATGAAGAAATTCACGGTCTCCAATAGAGAAGAGAATTCTTCTTTCAAAATTTTCTCTAAGCAATTGTAATTTATTAATTTTAAAAATTCACTTTTTGCAAAAACGAGAAGAACGTTACTTTCAAGTTTTCTCTATGCAATTTTCAAATTTCACACACTGTGCAGTAAAAAAAATTCGCGCTCTCTAGCAGAGAAGAGAATTTTTCATTGAAAATGATTTCCGAGTAATTAATATTGTCAAATTTTTGATTTCACACACTATGCGATAGAAAAATTCACATTCCCCAGTGACAAAGAGAATTTTTTTTTTAAATCTTCTCTATGCAGTTATAATTTGTCAATTCTCAGATTTCACAAAAACGAAAGAATGTTTCTTTCAAATCTGCTCTGTGCAATTTTCAAATTTCACACACTGTGCAGTAAAAAAATAATAATTCACGTTCTTC